ACACCACCAGGATCTACAGCAGAGACATGGGAATGGAGAAACGTAGCCGGATGGTGGCAAGGAGAGGGAAGGTAATCCAAACTGACGGGTCACACTGCCAGAAGGTGGACGAGGGCTAAAAGTACCCTGGCATACCAAAGGTAAATGACTACCATGAAGAGGCTAGAAGGAAAGCAGCAACAGCCAAATACCTGCAACGATTAAGGCAAGTTCTGGACAAGTTCAAGGCAATCAACAACTATGCCTTGGCAGTTATCAGATACTCTGCTGGAATAATTGGTTGGCCTAAGGAGGAAATTAAGGCCACTAATGTTAAAACTACTAGTAACAGAACACAAACTAGTAGTAGCAGAACACAAACTGGAGACCCTCGGGTCAAAATGGGAGCCCCCTCCCAAGGTGGAGCTACGATCCTGTGGGACTTCCAGAACAAATAGACACACTGGTTGTGGCCAACCAACCGGACTTGTAATAACTGATAAGCAGCAGAGGACCATTGTAGTGATGCATGTGGCCATCCCAAATGATGAAAGATCAGGAAAAGAGAGCATTACAAACTGGAGAATATTAAATTCATAAATAATTCATAAAAACACAAAAAGTTCGGCAGCAGCAACATTTCTCAATTTTTTTCTCAGTAAAAGAGTTAAAGCCCTACATGTAGATAATTCAGAGGTCACATACACTGTTTCTTTTTTTTTTTACTTAGCGTACTTTCTGAGGGAGTTATGAATCGGCTGTAATTGAATAGAAAGGCCAAAGCAGCATCTGTAGACTTAACCTTCTGATTGTCTGACCCAGTTCTGACCCAGTTCTGGCCCACACAGCTTACATCATCATGGACAACACCTTCCATCCTCTGCACCAGACTGTAAAGGTGCTGAGCAGCTCCTTTAGTGAAAGACTTACACCCTGTTTGTAGAGAGGAGTGCTACTGCAGGTCATTCATCTCTGCTGCAACAAGACTCTACAATTCAACATTACAACGGCAATAACTTTTGCAATGTATAACGTGTGATTACTATTTGATACCCTGTGCAATAACCTGTTTCTCTACATTTGACACCCAGTACAATAACTATATATAAAAATCTATAAATATCTATCTTTATAAACACCAATGTAAACACCCTGTGCAATAACCCTGTATAATGATCCTACTAAAAAAAGAAAAAGTCATGTGGACGCACAGTATATACTGTATATATCCCATGCACCCTGTTCTTCCTTTGGCACATTCTCCTTCTCCTTTGACTATTTCAGCTGATTTGAGGAGTAAATATCTCCACTGTGAGATCAATAAAGTCAATCAATCAATCAAAACTGTGATCCTATATCAATATGGCTAACGCCAGTCACCTTCACCTTTAAAAGTCCAGTGAAAATTACCGCATTTCATGTATTCTTGCGGGAATGAGAACAGAAAATAGAATCAAACTTAGATCTTGGTCTACTGGTTCTGCTTTGACAGAGACGTGCTAACTTTTATCATTATTTTCAGAGCTGAAGGCATCACTAGAAGCAGTTTAAATAAACACAGAGACAGAAAGTCCTTGGATAATCAGATGTGCTCTGGTCAGGCTGATCTTAAAAGCTGGGATGCATCACCCACATGAAGACGCAAACACTGTATCTGTAGATGCTTTAGGAGGCAGATGCACACAATACACCAAAGAGAAGTTGTCTTAATTTGCTCATTGAGAAACAGCGAATCAGATGTAAGGGTTTCTATGGAAGTGGGCCTCATTCTGCCTTCTTGACTTTGATAGATGTTTGATAGGTTTGAATAATTCCTGGTGTGCTTCGGTGCAGGAACCATGCAAAGTAGCTTAGGACCAGAGCTCCTGATGGCCAAACGGATGTCTCTGAAACATATCTTTCAGCATTTGGCTGTTACGCAGTATTACAGTGAATGAGTTGGGGTCTGGGTGCTTGTCCGTACAGTAACATTTCAGAGATAAATAAATAAGAGCTGTGCTAATTGGATGTCACCCAAAAGGTTAGACTACCTTTACAAACACAGGGCTCAAAATGACTATTATTATCTACTCAGTATAAAGCTCACCCTAACTGCTCAATACCAGGACTTCCAGCATTTACTCAAAGGGCTCCCTCTGTTGGTAAATTAGGGTAATGCACAAAACTCTTTTTTGTGTGTTTTTCTGTAGTAGCTGTAATAACTAGTCTGATTACTGTTCTATTTTGTGACCGTTAATTTTTCTAAAGTAAGATTTATGTCAGATAAAAAGATCTTTCTACAATGACTGAGAAATAAAGGGAGGCATTAAAGCTGAACTGTGTGAGAGAGTGCATAGAAAGGCAGCAAAGGAGATAGAAAGAGAAACAAAAAGCTAACCAGCTCTGTTATTTGCTTGTTGGACTATAGTTGATATGCCTGAACTCGATTTCTAAAAAAATAACTGCTGTTAGAATTAGAGAATAGTTGGTTATTGGTTATTTTATGTTTATTTCAACAGCTGGGCTCCAAGTTATATCCCATAATATAAACCTTTTGAGTTTTTTGATTTGGGGAAAATAAAAGAAAAAAAAATGGTGAACTGAGAATAAAAACCGAAACAGCTTTTTTAACAGCTCAGCACTATAGAAACAGAAGCTGTTCTTGCAAAGCAGAGAAAAATGCTGTCACCATAATGTTGCAGCTTTTTTCTTCCTGTGGTTAGAAAAAGAGGTTATGTTCTTTGTTGTAATCTGGACTTCAGGTCTCTGCTAAACCAGAAAAAAGCATATTTTGGATTTGATTCAAACCATTCAAACAATCTGCACTTTTCCACATTTTGTTAAATTGCAGACACTAATTTCAAATGATGGCATTTATTGAGCAATTCTGAAGTTAAGGGAAAATTATAGATTGTTTTTAAAAACATCATCTAAGAGCTCAATCTAAAAAGTGTCCTTATTTTGTATTCAGAGCCCTGCATTCAGTCATTTTGTTGCAGTCAGAGCAGTGAGTCCTTATTGGTATGTTTTTATTTTTTATTTTTGTTCATACTCAAACTCAATAAGACTGAGTCATTTTCATCTCAGAAGAATCAATAAAATCAGGTTCATTCTGCTTTACCAGCAGAGGTGGGTAGTAACTAATTACATTTACTTGAGTAACTAAAACGATGTTCAGGCTTTATTGGTTTAATGTTGTTGCAATTCAATTCAGTTTATTTCTATAGCGCCAATTCACAACACATGTCATCCTAAGGCACTTTACAATTCATCCAGATTATACAGTCAAATTGATTAAAAGTTTTCTATCTAAGGAAATAGGTTAATCCCTCACACTAAGCATACTTGTAGCGACAGTGGAGCGGAAAAACTCCCTTTTAACCGGAAGAAACCTCCAGCAGAACTGGACTCAGTGTCTGCCAAGGCTGACTGGGGTTCAAGGAGACAGAAGCAGAGATACAGAAAGAAGCAGAGATAAAAAAAAAAAAAGGCAACTGTAAACGAGCTCCACAGTTTTTTATCTGCTGATTCTGCTGTCATTTACCATTCCATACAACTTTATTTATGAAGCACTTTATGCACCGGACAGGACCAAAGTGCTGTACACAATAATAAACTATAATGCAATATAATAAAATTGAAAAGATAGAGTATAAAATACATATTAGTACACAAACAGAAAAACAAACAAAGTGAAACCTCTCAAATTGTGCCAAAAGCCAAGGAAAAATCTCATTTGGAAATAAAGTAAAAAATACAGTAAACAGCATATCCATAAAATACTCAGTATCTATAGATTTATAGATTCTATACTACAAAATCTATTTTGAAAATGTGTAATTCCTGTATTTTATATATGTATGTTTATCCCATTGCTTCTGTTTGAGGTTTGTATTTTCTAACTTTACATTTTTTTTTTTTTTTTATATTAAATGTCAGGATCATGCAGTAAGTATTTACATTTACTTGAACAATTTCTTGAATGGCTAATTTTTACTTTATCCTGTTAATTGACTAAAATGTAATGTACAAGTGCTACTCTTATTTGAATGTATTTTTTTGGATACTCCACCCACCTGTGCTTACAGGGATACCGACGTCCTCATCTATTCATTGTAACATCACCCTTTGACTGGCAGGGACTGCAGGGATGCCCTATTCCTCTCTGGTCAAGCTGACTTGAGTTGATCCAGTAGTCTATAAAATTTTTCATGTACTTGCCCCTCTGTATTTTAATAATCTTATCAAGAAGTAGGTACCATATTTTGCCCTCCCAGCTGAGGGGATCAGCCCTCTGATTGTGCTTAAAGTAAAAAAAAAAAAAAAGATGGGGGGCAATGAGTGCACCTATTGGAAAATCTGCTCCTGGTAGAAGTTTTTAAAACAGTACTAAAGTACAACTTGATTTTGTTTTGTTATGGCTTTTTTGTTGTATTTAACTGTATTGCATATATTGTTTATATGTTATTTCTTTTGTTTTTAAGGTTTATTTTACCGACCTGCACAGCACTTAGATCGAAAAAGTGCTATAATTCACTAGTATTATTATTGCGGAAGGCTTTTTGTAATAAGGGATGTTGAAATATTTGATCATTTCCTCTTTCACAGCAGGTTTATCTCAGTAGGTTTTATCTCCCGTTGCCAGGGGTCGTATGTGAGCTGCTGTCGCTGTCCAGCAGGGGTGGTGCTGAAAAGCCGAGGCCTGATATCACATCCCCTCTAACGGGCCTGCAGCATCCCAACTTATCAAAATATACCTTCATTAAATCAAAGTATACCGATTTGGAGCCAGATAGATAAGTGAGAAAATATTTAAAGAGAAGGCCGGGATATCGGACACCAAAGCCGCCATAAAATCACGGCCACATTCAGCACCGACGGGCCTCTGAGCTCCAAACTTCAGTCTGCTGTTTCCTCCTTTAAAGCGCATTTTATGGACATATTGTCAGTGTAGACTGACTCTGTCCACAGTTCGCATCCCCCACTTCGCCCTAAACTGAAAGCTCCACTGAGTAAAGCCGCATCTAGCCGAGGCTACCTACCGCTTATAGTCCGAGGAGAAGATCCCGCCGCTCGCTGGGTCGTGACCATATTCAGGCTCCCCGACGCTGGAGGAGCCCCCCTTCTCTTCACTAAAAGCAGAGCTGGAGGACATGTCCGTTGTCTACCTCGCAGAGCGTTGATGAAGAATCAGAAGGCAGAGAAAGCAGGAGCAGACACCGCGGTGCTGTGGAGGGTAGGGGGGGAGCTGATGGTCACGTGGTTTTCAGTCCTCTTATGGATTTAAATAAACATGCGCCATCTGCTGCCAAAGGGGAGCACATTCAGAATATATATATATATATATATATATATATATATATATATATATATATATATATATATATT